GAAAGAGTAAAGTAAACAAATAGTCACACAGACATAAGAATATGTCTTATATAGACGATATTTTATAAAAATCGTGCAATAAACTACGTGGTATGCGGTGAATATGAAAATGAAATAGTTACAGTGAAACCTCGATAAATAAATCTTACAATATAAGACTCATATGGGGATATAAATACTTTACATAAAATCAGAAGTCTTGAAAATTTTTTTTTATGAACAGCGTTGGTTCTCTAGGTTCCGGTTTGGATTTTCTTTAGGTCTCATACTGTTGGTGCCTGTACCATTCATTCGTGTTGTACACTTTAATGTCATTGGCAACTACGCTACCAACTACGGATTTTTAAAACACTCGACGGTGAGTAAGAAGATGTGCTAGAAAACCGCTTGTCTATATTTGGAGGCGATTATTAATAGAACTTGATGGAACTCCAAATATTATATGAGTATTACCGAAGAATTCCAAAAATTTCACTGCATGGCGATTTACTGTACTACTTACAAAAAATTTAATTATAATATATTAACGAAAATAAAAATTTGGATATGTATGCATCCCATTGTTTAGGAACTACGTCACAGACTTCCAGCTCACATGCAAGTTTCGACAAAGATAACGTCACACAAAAAACGCATTTTTTAGAACAACATACATACGCCCACTCACCCATATTTGTGAACTTGTGATGCACTCTCACCTCTTGTGAGGATATCGCTTTCATTTTGTCTTCGTTTTTTATTCGATTTCTGCTTTGGTAATGTCGTCATCATTATTTCATTACCATATAGCAAGGCTGCCGCCCGCCAGACACTCAAAAAGTTATAGCATATATGTATGTAACTCTGGCACCCACACAAGCTTAACAGCACATGCTCGTATAATGGTACATGAGCAGCCAACACCATTTTCAAAATCGTCCTTCGCTCATTTTCCTGTTCGCACGAATTTGTTAGTTTTTTCACTCGCTTTACTTCGCGCCAGCCATTCATCTTATGTGCCACACTAGTTTTTGTTAGCGTCGTTTGTTGTTGTTAGCGCGCTTTTTTTGCGACTAGAAAATTTGCGTGATTCATGCTTAAAGGTTTAGCGTTTGGCTTTATAGCACGGATCATCTCCGACTCTGCCCTTGTGTGGGTGTTTAAGTGTGTCTGTGTGGGATTGGGAGCGCAAGTTCGAATTTTTAATTCGCTTAAGTGAATCATTTCAATTTGTTGGTTACAAATTGAGAGGTGGGAAAATTTGAATGCCGCTTAACAATAACATCTCACACCTTGTTGAATTGTCAAGGACTTATATTGCGGGTAGTCCATGTAATCCTCTTGGATAGTTAGAAAATGAAATTAAAGTTTTCCAGTAATAATAAGGGGTGTTTGGGGGTTTTGGAAGAATAGAAGTAACGATCTTAGGTTCCGAATCAAATTCGGAAGAAAAAGAATTTCAAATTGAATCTATCTTCAGGATACTCCAGTTTTTTGAGGAGCGCTCACTCTTTCAAAAAGAGCGCCGCAAGATTGACTTAGAAAATCCTCTATCAAACGACGCTCTAACGTTCGGTTAGTAACAGAGGGACTACAGCACTATATGGGAGAATCATTCGCAATGTAAGAAGATCTAAAACAGATATTTATCATCCCATACGAATTTTTGATTTTATAATGAGAATTTTTATAAAATACGGCAGACCTTACTATATATTCAAAATTAAACAAAAGTAACACTTCGTATGACCGATTCATGATTAAAACTCTATGAAAATCTATTGTCATGATGGGAACCTGAGTATCGAAATTCGACCACAGACCGCATCACTTTATAAAATAAAGAAAAGTATGCTCATTTGGAAAAAGAAGTAAGTTGAATAAAAGTGTATTGAGCTGGCACTAGAAATATCTATAATAAAGGGGTAGCTTATTTACTGATAGTTTAAGGTTATAAGTAATAGGTTCTAGCGGAAGATATGAACGGACTTTTTTCAGTTTTCGACAGCACCACTAAAAAATGTATACAAGTTGTTTAAAACGTCTAAAACATTGACCGTTAGATATCGCGGGTCATGATATTTCACCTATAAGTGGGTGTTACTCCATTCATTGCCCAATTTTTCTAAAAAGTACCGAGGTATTCCCGACTGACGTTTTCAACCGAGGTTCTTTATTAGCATGTTTAATGTATTTTATTAGCAAATATCGAAATATCTTTTATGTTCCATTTGACTATCATATAAAGGTCAATGGAGAACTTTATGGGACTAATCATCGGTGATTGGGCTATTAACCATACAAAGTGTGCCTGCATGCAACAATTTTTGAGACTTCTTGCTTCAATTCAGCGTTGAACTAATTTCTGTGGACAGTAATAAACTGTATGTAAGGGCGCAGTGTATACAAACGCGGAATATGAGGGTAACTCATCTAATCTCATACCAACAGGGTCCATTTTATAAAATATGCGAGTGTATAAATATCCTTAGATGTGTACCGACAGTCAACAGACCAACAACACTTCTCAGCAAATTGTAACAGATAGTTGCAACTCATCAGTGTATGGTTAACAGACCACAACTGAAGCGTCATCAACTGCACAATTGCCACAAAGCTAACCCCCTCGGCATTGCCTTCGCTGCAGTTGCCACCAACAAGTTAATGCACTGTTAGACAGAATCGAGTACAACAAGTTCTGGTATACTTGTATATACCACATAAACAATGCTTAGGTTTGTGGTTGTTATTGTTATTGGCTAGTTATTCGGGTAACGCGTATGGCTTGCCGAATGGCGCAGCATAGAATCCGTTCTGACATGGCAAATTTGATTGCTGTAACTCGCAGTTTATTGGAGAGTGAATGATGAAGAGTAGGTAAATGTACTAAATGACTCGTGGTGAGACAACTCGTATTGTGTTTTACGAGTTCATTCCATTTTGCTGCTGAAAACTTTTTTTCGTGGTAACGGTAGAAATATTACTCGCTCTATTTTCGTGTCTTATTGGCTCCAAATCTGCTAAACTGCCATTAAAAACTTCAATATCTTTCTCATTCCAATTCATTTTCAAGTAAATAAGTACAATTTGGACTGAAAAACCTCTCTGAATGAAAATATGGATATATTCTTCGACATGATCTTTAAAATTTCAATGTATTTTTTCTAATATTCCTCCAACATTTCGATAGTGTCAAGCTTCTAACACTTCAAAATAAACTATTGTTTCCATAGTGTCCTGCTTATTTGATATCTTGAGCCTGGGAAAGACGAAACAGTCGTTTTTGGTAAAATGTGGGAAATACGGTGGGCTGAAAAACTTATGGCTGATCTGTTTTAAATTCAAATCTTCTATCTTGATCTAAGTGTAATAATCATAACTAAAATATTATCAAAATTTCATGAAATTTCATCCAATCGTTCCTAAGTTATTGGTCTCAAAGAGACCCTACCTTTGCTTTTTTTATTTAGGATGAAAAGAAGAAGAAAATGAATTTCGTATTGTTCGTTGGCTAGTTGAGTGTTAAGACAAATCTGTCCCAGCATATTCAACGGCCAAGTATTGGTTTGCTCCTTTTGATATTTAGAGACAGTAATACCAGAAAACTTCCCGAAAATTCGAGAAATTGTTTGGGTTAATATTACTGGCTTTTCAAAGGAATGAAAAGGTTACAGCATTTCCAAGGCTTTATAAATGAAAAGGCTTTCTGCGCGATGGATGTAGCGTTTTTTGAACGTCGATAAATGTTCCAGTTCAATCAGATTGCGATAGGACTGACAAATTCTTATCATTACTCTATTAATTGGTTCCTACTTCATACCCAACGACTATTTTATTTGCCCAGGCTAAAAAAAATGACTCGCTGCAAAAAGATCGCACCCAAGGGAGTAGGCTAAGAGGAAAACAAATGTCTATTTTGAAGCCCTGAGAGTTTTGCACTCTCAAACCGCATCCAAAATATTGGAGAATTCCTAGTCTTACTCAAGAAACCGTTCTGGGTTAGTTCGTTTGGGTGTCGATAAATAATCAAAAATTTTAGAAATAGCTATTACAACAGTTTCTTGGTTCTTGTGTTTTCGTGCGTATTAATTCGTGATGTCATGAACTTACTTATTGAACTTATCGTAATTGATGAGCCCGTTCAGGCGCGGCAACTTTTGTTGCGAACAAACGTTGGTTATTGGAGCAAGAATGTGACGCGGAAAAGGCCAGTTTTCGGAAATGACATATCAGTATGAAGATTGAGGATGAGCAGAGAGAGTCCTTATCGGCAATGAGCAACAAAAATAACCATGTGTGAACATAGCAATGCAACAGAAACTACTTTAGATAAGTGACCGAAGTGGAAAGTAACAATAACAACAAAAATTACACCAACAATGATAGTAACAATAAAAGCAACAACATAAGCACAACAATTTGCTGTAATACATGGCTGTAATTCATATTGAATATTGCTTGCTGTTTTTGTTGTTATTTTATTATGATACTACAGCCAGTTTTTTCCATTGTGCTTTCGACCAACACTCGCTGGCGTATTGTCGGCTTATACTATCCATACTACTGCAGAATAATAAATGTTGCTGCTGCAGCTGCGCACTGGCTTCTGCTTGGCTGCTGTTATTTCATACTGCCGCTGCTGCTGCTAGTGTTTCTTTGTCTGCTTGTTTCCATTATCAACGCTGCTTGTGTTGCTATTTTATGTTTGCGTTAGCTGAACAGGACATGTTAACAAACACTCACACATAAACACAGATACATACACACACATAAAGGATGTTTATGGCGAAAGCGAAATCAATTTTGCGAACGAAAGTGTTGTGTTTTGTGGGGCAACGTCGCCATGTCTCACATATCCTTTCGTTTCTCGCCACTTCTTCACTCCACCAACTGAACGACCGAGCGCACGAACGACCAACCGACCGTGCCTTGCTAACACAGTCGCCCTCCAGTCCCTCTGTTGCGACCACTAGCTCACTAGCGCTGTCGTCACTGTCGTTACTGCTGCTGTTGTCGTTATTGTTGGCATTGTTGTTGTCATTGTTGTTGTCATTGTTGTTGTCATTGTCGTCGCTGTACAGCGTTGACTTTTCGCCTATAAATACAAATGTTCTGGCCAGAATGTGGCTTAAAGCGACACAGTTATCCTAGCCGTAATCTACGCGGCGTGCAACACAACCGAGCGTTAGCCAAAGTGTAGAAAGTATAAAGTGTGAATAAAATTGTGGAAAAATAAGAGATGCTCCATTTTTAATTTGTGCAAGTGCCACTAATTCGATTACAAAGTAACTGACACGATTTTGTGGAACAACAACAAAAACGGTGACAACTTTTAAATTGTCATTAAAAAGTGAATCTCTGGGCGAGTAAGTGCATTTAAGTGACGATGGCTTTAAATTAAACCGTTAATTCGAATAGCGGACAGTTTGTAAGCGTTGAGTGATTTGATTTGATTGAATGGTGAATCGATAAGGCGTAGAATATTTGAACGTAAATTTAATTTATTTTCACAAGGACTGACAATATTAGGGTTGTCAGTGCACAGTTTTTTGAATAAAAAAAAAATATAGAGTTTATTTTATAACATATTCATTTTTTAAATACAAATGAAGAAATTTGAAAGCTTTGATAGCATACGAAAATTTTTGTGAAGAAATTTAAAAACTAAGCGTTGGATTTGGATTCTAAAATTTCGATTTTTTGTAAAGCTATTAAATACTTAATCAAGGTTTTGGTGAATATGAGGGGTGCCTTTTTAAGAAAAATTAAATTTTAATGATTATTATATATGGTGTAATGGTTTTGACGATTAATACTTTTTTTTAGAAATCTAAGAGAAATCATTATGATCATAGCGAAAATTAGTAAAAATTTCCTATACGTTCTAATAATAATAATATCAACTTTAAATCTGAGAGAACTAATATAAATTGATTTAGGTCACATGTGAATTCTAAGAGAATACATTAACCGATTTTATCTAGCTTTCATGCCATATCAACAATTTTTTAGATAAATTTTGTTAATGGTAAAGTGTTCGGAATACTAGTTAAAGGGTTAAGCTCTGCAACTTATTTTGTGCACAGAGACCGAACTTTTTGAATAGATCACAAGAAGATAGGAAGAAAAAAATCATATTGATTTTCGACGCTGAAAGTATGTTTATAATCCAAGCTACTTCATTAGAAAACTTATATATGTTTATGTATAAGAACTCGTAACAATCGTATTCCGATGATGTATAATTAAGATATGGGAGTGTACTTTTGTTATACACTAAATTCAGAATTCTCTAAAACTTGGAAATAGTTAGTAGGTTGCAACTAGTCAAGAACCAATTTGGCACTAACTTCACTTGTCTTGTAGTCAACTCTGAAATTTGATTACACAACAAATAATTTTAAGTCCATTATACACTTGTCCTTAAGCTGCCTCCTACAAAACTGCAAGTATCCAATGTTGAGGCAAGCAGGTACAGTCTAGTTAGTGTCTGCTTAAAATATACTTTTAAAAGTTTTTGTTTAAATATTCTAGGTTAGGTTTTAGTTGTTCTTTATTCCTTATTCCTTATCGGCAGACTAAGATATATTCAATGTTAGTTACTTTCGCCCTAAGGCCTAAATAATTGTAGGTGAAATGAATCTTCTTATAACGACAAAACTTCCTGAGTTCATTACAGATCTGTAAGGAAAGTTGACTAAATTCTTTGGCAAATAATTCTCCGTAAAGTTTAAAAGAGTAAGAACGGAAGTGTTTGTGAAGAGGGAATAAATGGTTTTAGAAAACTAAAATGAATTTGGCACATGATTTTTTAAGGTATGAAGAAAAGAGAAACGAGCATCACTTGGCTTGGCAATATATAATATAAGTCTGTTTGGACCCTATAATACTTAATTAGCTGATGCAATTAAGACCAGCGCCGACAATTAGGTTAATAATTTAACAACTAGCAAACTAGCTACGCTATTGCTCGAAACTCAAACAGGTGTGTGGAAAGTTAGAATAAGAATAGATGGTGTCGACAAAAGTTTTGTCAAAGAATTGATCTATAATAGAAATTTTTTATGACACTTCTGAGTTTTGAGTTGATTAAGTTTATTGCGTAGTCTGCCATAAGGAAATTATTAAATTTTTGTTCGATATAAATTATCGCACACGTCCCTCTTTCCCCAAGTAACTGCTTATCTGTCGGAACCACTGATATCGGACTAAAATAAGATAAGGTAGCCATACCAACTGACCGATCAGACTCAGTTTCAAGAAATTTAGTACAGAGTCCAAGGCTACGCTAAAATCTCCACACAAATTGTTGTGATCGGACCTTAATAGCTTTTAATTTTATGCTATAAAAATGCTCCTGTAAAGGATTTTGTAGCTTCGTTGTAGCCGAATTTAACATTTATTTATCACTACTTCATATGGAAATACTCACAGGCTTTTAAATAAACTTGCTATTAAGCAGGATTGCGAATTTTCAAACATTAGATTTTCATCTTTTAATCCCAAACATGTGAAAAATTGAAAATATTACTTTTTGGTTTAAATGTATTCGTAAAAATTTTAATTCTCAAACAAATTCTTTGTTTAATTCTTAATTATAGCTTAAGATTGGAATTTTTCTTTTTTTTTCAATCCGTTAGTTGGGATTAAAAATTTATTTAATCTCAAATTTTTATACTCTCGCAACTTGTTACTATAGACCTAACGGTTGTTTGTATCACCTAAAACTTATTGAGTTAGATATAGCGTTATACATATAGAAATGATCAGGATGAAGAGGCGAGTTGAAATCCGGGTGACTGTCTGTCCGCCTGTGCAAGCTGTAACTTGAGTAAAAATTGAGATATCTTTATAAAACTTGGTACACATGTTTCTTGGTACCGTAAGACGGTTGGTATTACAGATGGGCGTAATCGGACTACTGCCACGCCCACAAAACGGCATTAATCAAAAACGAATAAATTGCCATAACTGAGCTCTGCAACAAGATACAATACTTTTGTTTGGTATAGAGGATCACATTAGGGAAGGGCATTTGCAGTTAAAATTTTTTTGTACCGTTATATGGGGAGGGGGCGGGGTTGTCACACGATTTCACCCATTTTCGCACCGCCGATAGAGATCTTAAAAACATTTGTTCTCAGTGAATTTTGTTATTATAGCTTCAGTGGCTTTACTACTCAGAAACAATGATGTCGCCAAGTACCCAAATATTGTTACAGTCTACCAATGAATGTGAATAAGTGGATAAAACACATACACCAAAGTTATTTTCTCAAAATAAACTCAGTGATTTAATACGTGATCACGTTGTCAAAGCCTTGGACGTGGAAGCATATTGTTTAAGCGAGATTTGTAGAAAATTTTCGCACTTAATATGGAATAGCTGAAAGGTGAACTCATTACAGATTTTAACAAAGTTATGACTATTTCGGAAAGTGTAGCTTGGAAAAGTTTAGTGCGAAGTTTTTTTTGCGTTTTTCGGGAAAACTTATCATATTAATATATATATGTTTTATATCATCAGAAAGTAGAGATTTTAATAAATATAAGGCCCTTTTTAAAAAGGGCTGAAATGTTGACTGAGATTTTTTTTTATTGAAAATTAGAGTTTTTAACGATATTAAGTCAATAGGTATAATGAGAAAAAACAAATATTTTAAGTTAAAACCTTTCAACTAAGTTTTGAGGTTATGTGAAAAAAGTCGATGGATAGAAGTTATAGTTCTTGTCATTACCTACAACATTGCACTACATATTTTTTCTATAGGACCCTTAGTTTTGCCGGAAATCTCGATAAACCTTACTTAACCCCTAAAAATTAAACCACGCCTCTACCATTATTTCTCCGAACTCAGATCGTCCGAATCTTAAAAAACCATTCATGGTTTCATGAATTATGAGCACACATGTAACTAAAACTGATCTTATATCTAAGGCAACAAAACCGCTGTAGGCTAGTGTAGTCTCAACGCCTCTTTATAGATTTTATTTTTGACTCTGCCCAAATTGCAAGACATTAATTTTGAGAAAATATTCTAGATAATGATATTTTTTAAGAGAGAAAACTACCTTTTAATAAAAAAATAAATTGAATTTTTGAAAATTCGCGAGTTCAACTCAATTGGAAGTGTGATTAGGTACTGTTTCTGTCGTTGGAACGTTTCTTGAAAATCTGCAAACGTATACATACATATTCAAATATTATATCTTATAGATTTACACATTTAGTGATTCGTCTGCTAATAATTTCGGCTTAATTAATGCGCTACCTGTTAGACCGTGTACTACTCTAGCAGTATTCCTCCAGGCCGGGGAGTTAGATGTACTAAGCAAGACTATAAGCATATCATGTGATACATCCATATATAAGATATGAATTTATTTTGTATCCCATTTAAATACTACATTTTGGTCACGCACCACTCACACACACACACGCCTTTTTCTTGCAACATGCCTCAAGGCATACAAGTTGCAGTTATTTAACCAAACACTCCACTATAGTTACCAGCATAAATAAAAAATAAAACATTCGCACTCTTTTGTCGTGGTGGCAGTTATAATTACCACGCTAATTAAAAAGTCTAAGTACATTCGAGCAGGGTGCCAACTGCGCATCTGCATAAATGCATATGGATGGCTGGTATGCCAGCTAGATGAAATGTTGGCACAACAACAACAACAACACGCTTGAAGTCAACTATTTGCAAGCATACACCCCGCATGACAAAATAGCATGCGAATACAAACATTATGCTTTAATTATCTGATTCCAAGCAAAACTAAAATTTCAAAAACAACAACAAATAGGTTCAAAAATGTAAAAAAATTAAAAAAAAGTGAAAAATTAAAACGCTTGCAGTAACTGCTTTCGTAATATTCACTGGAGTGCTGTGATTTTAATTGAAAAGCACTGGCAGCAACAATTACTATAACAACACCGCTGGGCGCGTTATGCACCACACATTTGTAGAAAGTCATTAATAAGCTTACGAAAAAAATATTTGAAAACAAAAAAGGTTGCAATTACAAAATAGTTAAATATACACTACTTTTAATTTCATCTCTTCGCCATGGTTCGTTGAGTTTTCACAAAAATTCAAATGCAAATGAAAGCAAGCAGCAGCCGAGATCAAAACAGCAGAAACGTGGTACATAGAATAGCCAAACAAAAAGCAAAACTGAGCGACTGAACAACGTTTTTTGAGGGTCTGCTAAGATAGCGAAGACAAAATTGGTGTAGTGGGTGCGAAAATATACATACGACTACTTACAAACATATGACCACCAACTGACACAATTTCCGAAAGTAAATTACTTAACAAATTTTCTTTGTGCGGCCAACAAAAGTTTAGCTTAGAAAGTGAGAAGGAGCTTAGTTTGTGCGCTATGAAAAAAAAAAAAAAGAAAAGACGTTAACTTCTGTTGCAACGAAGCTAGAATACTAGAAATAAAAAAGTTTCCTTACAAGAATATGATTTTGATCGGTCAGTTAGTATGGCAGCTATATGCTATAGTTATCCGATCTAAAAAATTTGTTCGGAGATTGTAACGTTGCTTTGGAAAATAGTCTATGCCAAATTCGAGTGTTCAGTTTGTATGGCAGCTATATGGTGGGTGGTCCGAGATCAGCGGTTCCGACTAATGATCCCCTTAATGAATAATCTACTCTAGCTGCAATCGGTGTGAATTCGCGTACATATTGGTCATATTTTCAATATCAACTTTCAAATAAGAGTAGCAGTAAATTGTTTACAAAAAAAAGTTGCAACGTTCCAAACTTTTCGACACTCCAGCGGAAACTATTTTGCTAACTGAATAATATTTTTACAACCTCTACGTGTACTTTAAGCCAAAAAAAATAATTTTTTAAGCTATTGCAAGTTTCTAACGCGGGCTTTGATGCGGGGGCTGAATCAAGAAATCCCGTAACGGAAATGAACCTAACATGATCACAAAGTATCCGTAAAATGTTGCATACTTTTAGGCTTATTTTGGATATCTCAAGCGGAACAAATCAATTGAAGAGACAGCATAATCATAATCTCAGGGTGATTCAAAAATAATAATATTTAAATAAAAAATTTTTAATGGCAAATAAAAATATGGAACTTAATAAAAATGTAATTAATAAAAAATAAATTATTCAGTATTCGGAGTCATAATATTGACAACATTATTATTATTTTGGTAAATAGCTACCCCACTTTTTGCAACAGTAGCTCGCTTGAATTGAACAATAAAACTGAAATTATGTATTTCAATCAGATGGTCATAAATTTAGACCTATCTTGGCTGGCAATTTCAATATCAACTTCGCTGATGTAATCGGAGCTATTGACAACTTTTCTTTCGGAAGAAATGAATTTGAAAATGAATAATGATCCACAAGAATCCACAACAAAATATGGGACCACCATTGACGCGGTATTTTCCAGATACTTCGGGGATATCAACTCTCAAACTTATGTTTCTTATTTCAGTTACCATAAACCTATAGTTTCAATGATAAAAATTCCTGAATAACCTACATGTATTGTAAGATAATAAAAATATTTTAAACAATATTAACTTATCATTTATTCAATAAAGGAAAAAAAATTGTTGTCTTTTCGGTTACCAACTCAAAAATGGGAACTTGAATTAATATAAAAGGGGGAAAAAATGCTGCATAAAATATATAAAAGTTAATACATCGATTTTTGTACAGTAAATTAAGAATTTGAAAGTTCGTCTTGAAAATATTGGTAGATATACGCAAGCAATTTTGCCAGAGATTCTTTTTAAAATTGTACTGAACATCGGATAGCTAGCAGAGGAACTATATATGTATTAGTCTGTTTCAAGAGTTTTTAGATGAATTGGTGATTTTCCTTGATAATAAACATGCAGGATATGCTGTATGTAGATATTATCATGAATTTTCCCATAGTTTCCGGAAATGAATGTGTGTGTGTTTTTTTATGCAATTGCTTATTTAGGTTAAACGCGCTTCCAAGTGGTCCTATTTGTTATCTTGACTAGCTGACTAGAGCAGTATTTTCTTGAATAGCCTTAGTGGACTGACACAAGAGACTGCCTACAAAGTATTGACTCAGAGGTCATTCCACTCACACTGCACCACCACACACACAACTACATTTAAGTGCATATGGCATGGCTGAAAATGTGATAACAATTTTCGCTCCATAAACACCACTCCCCCACAGTTAGTGCAAAACCTATCACGCTGCTGCGACGACTTCTGCCGTTGATGGCCCACGGGAATCTGCTGCACAATATCCAATTGCAGTTATAAACATACACATTGAGGTTAAAAAATTTTACAATCACACATAACGGCATAGAAACACGCGCTGTCGTGCAAATTGTGCCTTCGGTTACCCTTGTGGTGTCGTAAATTATCGAGTTATTATTGCAGTTCAATTTATTGCGAATTTTCCACTCAACACTTTTTTGCGCTCGCAACTGATTGCCACTTTTATCGCACACACGCACACTCATACATACTTATGTGAAAGGGCATTGAACGCATCTGTATATATGTATATATATACTTCCACTTTTCCTCGACTGCCCTTGCTGCCTATGTACATATACCCATACACCTATACTATGTGTGCTGGCATTTAACGGTTTTTATTAAGCACTTTCACAGTATTTATGATACATTTCCGGGCGCGTGTGTAGACCACGATAAAAGCGCGCAAATTTGTTGCACGTTGCCAAAAATATTAATACACTCTTTAATTTATGATCTTTTAAAATTAATCGCCTATGAAATGGTATGTAAAACTATGGGGGCTGAGTGTAATGGCTTCACTGTAATTTGATGTACTATTAAATTGTAAGATTAGCTACAAAGTGACATATTGAAATTTACGCACTATTTATAAAAAATACCCTAAAAATTACTATTATATATATTAATTTACTATTTATGCTATTTAGAACTGTCTAATATAACATATTTTGTCTGTTAGAGTGCTACTTCTAACTGACAGCTGTACGTATACGTATATACTGTATGTCTCCTAATGCAAGCACATGATAACATATGTGTCCGATTATAACAAAAACTAAATATCGATAACCAAATGTACACAGCCCGCGAATCAAAATTAACCTTTTCTTTTAAATACACCTCGTATGTAATATTTTTCAGATAGCTGGCAACCCTTCATTAAAATATTTTCAAAAATTAGAATTTTTAAGTAAATATATTAGTTTCATCATTTGCCTGCTTTTTCAAAACCTCTTCAAAAATATTTTTGAACTCTAAAATTTTCTAAACCTCTCCATTTATCTCGATGTATGTAGTTTATTGGCAACTAAATTTTCTAACTTACAAAGCATCGAAATAGTGGTAACCTTTTCACTTTCCTTGTTTCAAGCCATGCGAATTTTATACCGAAGAGTAAAAAGGAATTTTATACCGAAGAGTAATAATTAATTCACTAATCAACCCGATACATATTTGTAGAGTTACGAAAAACCGTTCAGTTTTTCCTTATTTCACATTAATATACATATGTACTGTCACTTGACTTGTATTCGTAGCCTTCTAAGATTTCTAAGAATCTAAGATTGTTTTGTGAGGTCATCCTTTTATGGGGTGTTTTAAAGATAAATATTCACGGTGGAACTAACGTAAGTAACACAAATCTTGTTATTGTGTCCTAAATGTCTACAAACTTTTCTGTGCAAAACAGAACTCAATCCAGGGTATGATTATAGAGTATTGCCAAAGTTTCAAACCAAATCTTTGAATAACTTCTGTTTATTCAATATCTTAAAGGTATAATTGCTTATATTTATGATAATTTGATAAAGAAAATCTGAGAATTTTTTACACATTTCAAGGTCAGTGCAACGTTACAACATATTCACACCAAATTAGAAGAAACGTTTAACATTTTCCTATTATTATATAACACTGATGTATATATAGCCATAATAGGCTTTCGATGGAACTATTTATTTTTGTAAAACATCCTTCCACGGAGCTGTTTCAGGACCCATTTCCAATAGAGTTTTCCATATAACTATTCAGCGGATTATTTCGCAAATAATATTTTCCGATAAAACTCTTATCTAAATTACGTTCATAGAAACAAATAGTCTTTCAAATAAGAAAAAGGATTATTACTAAGGAAGTATACAGTTAAATGCTTTTAAAAATGAGTAGTTTCTGAAAACTCCAAAATATACACTGCTAAAACCCTAAAACCTTATTAAAAATAAAACTGTATTAAAAATGGGTTTAGGTATAGTAGAGAGAATCTTTTTTTTATTTGCTTTATTATCGTTACTTAGAGTTTATCCTTGATAGAAATCTTTGATGAAGGCCAAATATTAAGGAGAAATATATGGAAGGCATCGATTGCCATCGGGTGCATTACAGCGAAGTGCGCTCTATGGTTCAGGGAAGCTGGGCATGTGAAAGCGTCCTGCTCACATACCAACAAGGGATGTGTGGATGATGAGTAGTCGCTGGAGAAGATGCGTGGTGAGAACGGCTGGATCGTAGCTAGAAGGAAGGGTTGGAGGGGGCGATTTCTGTAAGGAGCTCTCGGTCAATCTTAACTTTAGGTCGACGACCCGCTCCTGTGTGACTGCGAGATCGTTTTGGCCTAGAGTAGAGCGCAGGAGTTCTTCTGAATTACTTGCCCTTAGCAAAGTGCATCTTGTCGCAATCGTTGTGTTAATACCAATGGCAATCAATGAGGCAATTGCAAACCTACAAATGTTCATCTATGCATATCTATACACAATAGACATTTTTATGTATGTATGTAATAATATATATTATTTTGCAGCATACTACAATATATTTTCATTGGTATATCATAATATCGTTAAGTCATGACTTAGGTAATAAATAAACGAGTTTACGAAGTACATGTGTTATTTTCGGCGCTGTATGCGACCATATGTAACTATGTTTGTACATATGTAAGCTTTTTGTGGCACTTAGTCACTTGTGAGGCTAAACAATTAATTTAATTTTTGTCTCGCTTCTTCTTCTTCTATTTTTCGGCCGCTTTTACTTTTGTGCTGGGCATATTTGAATTTTGTTGTCGTCATTCGCAACACTGCCAACAACTCGCATTACTGGGACGAAAACTTGAAAACTAAATAAACAAACAACAACAAACCTGTATGTAACAAAGAAAATTCCAACAGCTTGTAATAGCGCAAAAAAAGAGCAAGCAACAACAACAAGTGGAGTCAGCAATTGAATTGTAGCGAAAATTCGGCGCCATTTGGGGAAGCCAACGACGACAGTCCACCAGCAACAATAACAGAGCCGCATAACCACTGAACCAGCGGCGACACGCACCAGCAAAAACAACAACCAACTAACACACACACACACCTTACACAGAGGGAATCTCTATAAAAGTGAAATTTTCGCCACACAACGCCCAATAAAACAACCGGAAACACAATGGTAACAGCACAACTGGCAATTCGACGCAACAACAACAAACAGCACAAAAGCAACAAGAAACAGAGTGGAACTTTGGGCAGCAGCAGCATCAGCAACACCAGCAATGGCGGCAGCGCCAGCGTGCCAGTGAAATGTCGCCGCGGTGGCGTCGGTGTGGCCTCAGCGCCATCGCTCAGTCTCGGCTTGTGGCTGTTGCCGGTGTTATTGGTGTTGTTGGCGTGGCAGCAGCAGCCATGCGAGGCACGTTATCTGCCGACAAGGTCACATGGCGACGATTTGGATAAATTGCGCGAATTAATGTTGCAGGTGAGTGCCAAATAAACAAGTATGTAGATATATATTATGTATGTATATGTGTGCATAAAAGTGCAAGTGGCAAGGTAAATGCAAATGTGTGCACGTAATGGCCACAGAGGGTGAAAAAAATGGAAATTTAGTAAAAAAAAAAAACTACTGAAAATTAATAAACAAAAACTTTTCAAAACAAACGGTAAAAAATTGCAAAAATTCGCTCCGCACACTGCAGCTGCAATTATATGACCTGCCACATCTTTCGTCGCTTACCAACACTAGCTATTAACTGCATTTTATATATGCATATGGCTCCTATCGCCACTGGGAATGCCAGCTGAGGAGGCTGAATAACTGCAACTACCAAAATTGGCTGCTCTCCGAAATTTTTCCGTACATATTTACATGCACGTATATATACATATATATCTTAGCTCCTCACTGCAACGAATCGCATGCGGACATGAGTGGGGCGTAATTGATGCAATAAAGTGGTAGCCAGTAGGCTTGGCGATATTTGCTACCAGCAATTTGTACCCAAACAACAAATTGGGTGGAAAAAAGTCTGCGAAATGAAAATAACTCAAAAGTTAATCAGACGTAACGAAATTAATGACAATTCCAATCGTGTATGACGCGCATGCGCGAAACACTTAAATTTCAATTATGCGCGCACCCGACGGAGTCGCTGCGTGCTTAAATGGCAGAGAAGAAGCAGTGGTGGAATTCGCGAAATATTCGAGAGATTTACTGAATGAAAGGAGTGACAACTATGTGAAATATTTAGTTGTGCGTATGTTTGCATGTGTGTATATATATTAGTAATAATTTATTAAAATAGGTTTGAAGTGGAGTAGAAATTGTCTCAGAGGAGTAAATGAAGTGGCGTAGCTATGTTCTTGTTATTTGCTATCCACAGGAGAATAGCAGATATTATCTATGTTATACTCATGATTTCAAATTAGACCAAGGCTACATGGTTAATATATCTAAAATTAAGCTTCTCTCTACTTTAAATTTAACCAAATTTCAAGACCTACATACGATAACGATCAGCTAGAAATATTACTTATATACAAATTTGATACTCTTATGTGAGCCGTTTTCGATTCGCTCCTCCGCTGCTCTCAACATGTGTCAGTTGAAGTCATTGTTATGCAGTTGAATTCATTTTGTTGTCTGTTCCATTCGTCACTTCCTAAAGTTTCGCGCGTCGCAGATAGCTCTAGAAATGTAATCATCCCCCAAACAATATATTTCGTTTTCAAGTAACTGGAATTCCTATATATAAGCGCTATCTTAGAGGATACAGATATATTTCTTATTTTGTAAGAATGCCGTAAGCATTTGGTGAATATTAGGCATATATGTAATACAATATCATAAAACAATAAAAGAGTTTTTTCATAAATATGAGCTTCAAAAACTAAACTTACTTAGATGAACAGTGATAATTCCAGAAAAGCGGTAACTAAAGAAAATCATCCAGCTTACCTGAAATATAAAATATGGTAGATATATAAATAATATGTATATAGAACGTATATAAATTAGTAAACAAGAATAACAAAATAATAATTGTAATCAATGAAAACTGGATTCAACTAATTCTATATTATTCTCTGAAGGATTTTGTTAGGGTCTTCAAATTCCTTGCGGTCCTCTGTAAACAAAAAAGTAAAAAATTTAACCAAATATTAACAATTTACTGAAATCGTCGATTTGATGCAATCTATCAAATGTTCACTGCGATAGTCTTTTGAAAACATTTTTAATACCCACGCCTACAGTGATTTTTTAGCTTTATTAAGTGAGGGTGAGAAGAGACTCAAATCAACTTTAAGAAATATAAACAAGTTTCCTCTGGTAGAACAAGATTTTTGTAACCTAACTCAAGACTTTCTTTCCCTAATGTCAAAAAAAAAGAAACATTTTCGTCGATTCCGGACACTTCCGAAGTCCGAAGTATGAGTTGTATAGAGTTATAATGATTTTGAGTTACTAAACTTGAAGAGTCGAATGATTTAGCTTGATGTAAAAGTGATCCAAATAAGACTTCCCAAAGTTTTGATTAATTTTTTTTGGCGATAGCCTCGAAAACCCAAAAATTTTGCTGCAAAAGTAATCTAAGAAAGCTCTCAGTTAATTTTTTAGAATCTTTTGAAAAATTCCTCGAAACCAAACCAAAAAATTTGACTTAGCTTGATGTAAAGGTGATCTAAATAAGACCTAAAAGAAAGTTCTTTAGTTATTTTTTTGAGATAGCCTTGAAAATCCAAAAGTTTGATGCAAAAGTGATCCAAAAAACGCCTCAAACGATGTTTTTTTTTAGAGTTTTGAACAGCAAGGGTCTAGCAATACTCCGTTAGTTCATGCGACTTCAGTCATATACCAGAATCGGAACAACGTAACGAGACTATCCATATTACGGCCTCATATATACAATAGGCGCATCAAAAGCAGTTTTGGAGGTTAGAAAGCCCACAATATAGTTCTGCGTTAAAGTTTCGATGAAACGCATTAAGAGAAAATTCATTAAGTGAGTGCTTTACTTAACGGTTTGCATTATTTTATTACTCTCATAAATCACATACTTCAAAATATATGTACATATACCCAGTAAGAACCCAAACACTGTAGAGTGCCATCTTCAGTTTCAACCACACTATCTGAATGTCACAACGCTCGAACGAACTGCGCAATTACTAACGGAAATTACTGTGTTTGTGGCATACCACAGCGCTGCGGACGAGTCACGCCAATATAGTAAAAGTCATAAAAATTGCAATTACGTCAGAGAGGTAGGCGCCAAACAACAACAACAAGATGAAGAATACAACGCCAAACAGAAAACAACGAAGACGCTGACCACCACAACAACAATAACAACACCGCTGCCACTTGGCGAGCAATGTGAATGTTGGATGAAGCAAAAAACAAAACAGTGTTGTTTAAAAAATGCGTGCAAAATTTTACTAATTGGCCTCAAAGCTAAGTGGAGAGAATGGCGAGTGCTGTTATGTTATAGCGGTGTGGTGTTGCGGCGCACTTAAGTAGATTGTTGCCACTTACTCGCGTACGCGTACGCATATTGTGGCAGTGATAAGCATGAATTGTTGTTGTTTTGCAGGCAATTGCCGCAATGATGATGCGCTTAAATTGCGCTTCATGCAGTGCAACAATAACAGTAACAACAATAAGTAAGCAGTTGGACTGCAACCGGTGAGCACAGGTGGCACTCACGCAGCTTCCTACACATTTATTGTTTTTTTGCCTTTTTTATACCCTAAACAGGGTATGTTAAGAATGCCACGAAATTTGTAAAACCCGAAGGAAGCGCCGGAGATCTTATAAAGTGTATATATAAATGATCAGCGTGGCGAGCTGAGTCGATTTATATATACCCGACTACTCATTCAGTTTTTAAGATGTCAATCTGAAATTTTGCACACCTCCGGTACTCCTCAAGAAGTTGCTCATTTGTCGGAAACGCCGATATCGAACCAACGTACAATATAGCTGCCATACAAACTGATCGATCAAAACAAGTTCTTGTATGGAAAACCTTTTCATTTGACAAGTTATCTTAACGAAATTTAGCATAGAATATTGCTCTAACCAGCGCTACAATCTGCACAGATATTGGATCGGACACTATAGCATATAGCCAACACGCCGATAAAAATCTAGTCCTTGTATAAAAATTTTTTTGTTTGGCATGATATCTTCACCAAATTTGATAAAAATGATTGTCCAAGTCAATGGTATAATCTCCAAACGAATTGTTCAGATCAGATCACTAAAGCGTATAGCTGCCATACACACGTACCGATCAAAATCAAGATTAAGATCTTTTTATACATTTATTATTTTTATTTTTATTTCCGTTATAAGAACTGCAATTGTTAAGGGTATTAGAGCTTCCGTACAGTCGAAGTTAACATATTTTCTGGTTTTTGTGTTATTTTCTTTGCACCTGCTGCTTTTTTATGCATCTCTGCGCTGAGAAAAATAAAAATCGCAACAACTTATTCATCTTTAAGTCTGCTGCATGCCACTCCAAATCAGTGGTTGTTCCCCGAATTATGACAGGCTGCACGTGTGCGCGTGTTGCATGCAGAATTTCCTGTTCTTTTTCGTAATCGTATTTCTATGGTATATGGGAAAAATGTGGTTTGCAAAGCATAAAAAGCAACAACAAAACGAACCAAAATTTGAAGTTGCATTAAAATACTACAACGGCAATTAAGATATGCCTGCCTCCGAACATATGTTGCGCATGCGTGCGCGTGTCTGTGTGTTCAGCAGTGGGCTGAGCGGCCGTTTCGCCTTTTTCGGTGCATTCTATGTCGGTAGTAGCGCGCCTGTCCGTGTGTGCGATAAATTGCTTTTAACAGCGTGTCGCAATCGCAAAATGATTGTTGCATCCACATTCATTTACTAGCGGCTAATGGCTAATCATTCGAGGCGTACAAAACATGGAACGTTTACCAGCTCCGCTAGGTGCTGCGAGTGCCACAATTGTTGCGCTGGAATTTGGCGATTCGTTGATTATGCGTTGACTAATAAAGTTATTGGTGTTGCAGGCATTTCTATGTGGATCTTCGTTTATGTGCTGGTGATTAAATATTGGGCAATAGTAACAGCGCCATACGGAGTGGATTGGAACCAGCTGCAGCAGTATACTCGTATGTAAATTAATTGCACCACAAGATATGTAAGCCTAGTTGTCTTCAGGCGAAAACTAGTTGGATTCGCAGATAAAAAATCAATCGTGTTCAAACATTCGTCATCCGCTGTTGATTGTTGTTCCCCATGAATCAATGTAGCAGAGTTAAGACTACAAGTCCTACCTACCTATGTTTAGTAGAGGTATAATTCATGTTAAGTTCTGCTACCATCATCTCGTTCTGTCATGCTGGTGCAGTAGCATGCTACTTCAGCATAGCCCAACATATACAACTCATTGGGGTTTTACTCATCAATATCCATTTTGGAATCAATAACAGCCTGGG